ACGCACGCCCGAGGGCTGGGTTTGAGCTCATGAACACCAACTTGGACGGGGAACATCCCCTTAAGATTTCAGCTTTCTAGCTTCTCAGATCCCCGATTTATAAACTTACCCGAAAAAGCTTTGGCGGGCTCTTACGTGGGTACTACGTGGGTAATGGCGCCCATTTTGGGGATTGGGGCTCGTTCGTACGTGTAGATTAAGTTCCCAAAGTTTCAGTCCTGTAGCTTTTGTAGGCCTTGAGATGAAAACGCGTGACAGACACACACACACACACAGATATACGGACACACAGAAAACAACCTCTCGTCAATGTGCGTTTTTGCATTGCATAGCTGCAAAAAACGCATAAAAATCGCCACTACCAATTTACCACTGAAACGAATGAACGAATCGATTCACAGAGGGATTGGTTATCCCACCGGTGGAGTCGACCCTGTGCAACAGCAGCACAAAACACGCATGTTGTCACGGGACTGTGTGTGTGTGTGTGTGTGTGTGTGCGTGTGTGTGTGTGCATGCATGTGCGTGTGTGTGTGTATGTGTCTGTGTGTCTGTGTACGTGTGTGTGCGTGTGTGTGCGTCACCCATGCATCTTATTATTTTTGCGACGTCTCTACAAACTCAAAAGCGAGTGCATTTTCCGCAAACTCAAAAGCGAGTGCATTTTGCGCGGCTTTGCCGAACTGAGTTCTAGTAGTCGTCTTAAAAATACGGAATCATTTAAGGTATGACAACACTGGAAGAAAAATTACTGCACGGTGATGCGGCCGGGTATTGCAGTAGCAGTGATGATGAGCAAGATGGTTGCTGCATTGGGACCAGCAGTGGTGCACCGCCACCGATGTCTACTGGTTTACGAAACACGGGGCCAAAGGGAGTTCTGGACGATTACAGGACATTTCAAGAGTGCCGGAGGCGAGAATTAGAGGAAACAAACGAAAAGGTAAATTCGAAAAGATTTTTTGGGCCTAGCTACGGTTTATCCTCTTTGACATTGATTTTTTGCATTAAAAGTTTTTTGCTTCTTCACGTTTTAACTTCTCTTCTTTCCTTCCTTTCTCACTTTGTTTGCTCCTTCACTCATATCTATTTCTTCCTGTCATCTGCCTTGCAAATTAGACACATGACTATTCAAAACATGACGAGTAGGAGGCTGTACTGGTGATTCCCACTCCTAACCGCATGCACTGTTCGATCTGTGTATACAGCTAAGGGATGAGACACACAGAGTGCGTCATAAAATGTCGTCAAACACATGACATTCAACTGAAATCCTTCTATTCTTCTATTTAGCTGACTCTGGGCAGTGAATCAACTGAGTACCACGAAGGGAGAGGGGGGTACCGTCTTCGAGCGAAAAAACTAATTTTTCTTGGACAAAGGGCTATTGGTAGGGACTAACTTCGCGCAAAATGAGTACTAAAGAAGAAAGAATTTGATTATTTAAGCAGCTGTATGTGATCGACGATCGTTATCACGCCATCGGTGCAGCACTGGCAATTTCTCCATTCAATTCGTAACACCTACATGGGAATATACCTACAAAGTTTCAGCCCCCAACCTTTTCTGGTTCCCGTAATCGCTTTCTCGCCAAAAAATTTGCATATTTTTTTAAAGCGTCCGTGCACGGTTGTTGCGCTCTCCGAGTCCACGTGGTACGGTACAGGAGTATCGTACGGGAGTTCCCTATGGGTGTTCGTTTTTCCCAAAGTAATCTCAATCGAATCACTTCCATTTTGAAGCAAAAAAATTGCTTTTTAGATTCTTAGTGCTGCAAAATACTGCACTTTATCGGGGCGCGACTACAGCTCCGATTTGGAAATACTTCGAAGCAAGAGAATTCAAGAACTAGCAGATTTCACATTGGCCAGAGGAAAAGTAAATTTTCTTGTCTTCTACAAAAATTCTGCGTATTTTTGAGGAAAAATCACGATAAGCTGGGTTTTATCGATTTTTTATTAAGATATTCAAATAGTTAAATCGTTAAACTGGGACATTTTCGCTGTTTTACGTTGTAAAGTAAATGATATAACGTGTTTTTGTTCAAATAGATCATCGAAATAACAAAAAAGGATGAATTTTTGGATTTTATTGAAACCAATCGTGATTGCTGGATCCTGATACACATCTACGATGATGATAACGAAGGTTGCGTAACACTGAACAAAATTTTCAATCAGCTTGCCTTGAAATATCCACACGTGAAATTGGCGAAAGTGTTACCATCAGTGGTTGGAATGTCATCTCAATTCGTAAGTTTCTCGATTTATTGCCTCTTCATAACTATATAGAATTACTATCCATATCATATGTTAGTTCCCTACACATTCTTATTACTTTCATGCTGTTGCACTTTTCCACTCTCTCTCTCTTTTTACGCATTTTGTGCTGCGTAACAGCAG